GGACACAAAGGTTTACAATGTTGTATGTTTCATTAAAAAGAAAAGTTCTATCTCCATCTACAGCCAAATTATTTTTGACCAGAATGCCAAGACTATTCCAGAAGGAAAGGACAGTCTTTTCAACAGTGTTGAGAAAACTGAATTTCAACATGCAAAAGAATGAAGTTAGACCCTTACCTGACATCATGTACAAAAATTAACTAAAAATAGCCCAGCTGCCCATGAACCAGGAAGTCATGGTTCAATTCCCAGTCAGGGCACACATGTCTGGGTTGTAGGCTTGATCCTCAGTAGAGGGCATGCAGGAGGCAGCTGATCAATGATCCTTTCATCATTGATGCTCTTCTCTCTCTATCTAGACTCAGGGAGGATAAACAACATGCTGATGGGTCAAGAGCTGGCACACTTCCATACTAGGAGGAACTGGTCCCAACATTCCTCATTGTTATTATTTGTCCTCATACCTCTGTACACTATGTGTTTTAAATGTTAACTATCCTGTACCCATCAATGTAAAATAAATATATATCTGCTTTATTTTTTATTAAATCTGAGGTATTTCCCTGCTCTACGTTCTCTCGCCATCTTAATATGGCACCAATGAATTTCATGAACCTTCCTTGTCTCTTCCTCCTTTGATTTTAATGTATAAAATGAACTGCAAAAGGGTGTTTCTTTCACCTTGAAGGGTGTTAGCTGGTTTCTGTTCTGAAAAAGCTGCATTTAATACCAGATGGGTCCTGCATGATCCTGAGACAGCAAGCAGCTCATCTGTCTGAAAATGTCAACCAAGGTAAGAATTACCTACTGGCTATCTCACAAGTGGACTTTTTCAAGTTTGATGAATTTAAAAATCTCCCTTTAGTTCACTTGGTCTTTGCAGGTGATACTCATCATGATCTCCACTACTCAAATTGATAATCACTGGGCCTGGTTGCAAAGAATAATGCAGAAAGGATATTCAAACAAAATCTGCGATGTTTCTCGATAATTTCTGATATTGTTTCTCATCATTCATATTCTGATGGACATTTATGACAGATACCGGGAGTCATAAGAAATCGCCATGATTCAATGAGAATTATCAGGGTGTCTCATTAACAAGGGTTGAATTGATGCCTCACAAAAGGAGAAAACAATGGACATCATCTCAGGATGATCTTAAATTAAACCTGGATGCCTTTGGGCCTTTTTAAAGTCTCTTGAGCATTTTTAAACAAAAATAAATTAAAAAAAAAATAAACTGCAAAATTCTTCTTCTCTAGAGCATTTTCTCAATTTTCTCAGATTTTGCTTCCAGATCTGACCCTCTTTCGCTGGCTCAAATAACCTCTTTTAACCTTCTTTTAGGTTTGGAATTTTTTTTTGTCAACACTGATATACATACATCACGTACAAAGAATGTTGCTAAAGTAATTTGGGGTAAGAGAGGAATAATAAATAGGCCTGCCAAGTACTTTTTATATAAAACATAGTCCACTGTTGGACAGTGGCAAAGCTAATATACAAGACTCAGTATTACCTAGATTCTAAATATTGACTTTCGTAAATAAACTCAGCAGTATTTAGTAGACAAACTGACTAAAGCATAATTAATACACACTCATTAGAACAGAAATTAGTATACACTCATTATAAAAACAAGCATTAACCTACAGTATTACTCAGATAAGGAGCTAAATGCTAATACTGCATTGCTCCTATAGGCAGATTTCAGAATTAAAGTTTCTTTAGGTTCAAGACAATCAGGAAAAATTAATTTATGTCAATAAACAGGATTTTTGTTTTGTTTTTAATTTTATATAAAAATATCAATTACATAGAAATCTTACAGATGAACTAATAAAAACATAAAATATGCATAATTCACTTTAATTATAGAGATAGCTGATGATAAAAAGATCATATCTGAAAAACTGTTTCAGGGGTCCTCAAACTTTTTAAAGTGAGGGCCAGATCACGGTCCCTCAGAGAGCTGGAGGGCCGGACTATATGAACTACTAATTCCTACTGTAACACCTCGGCTGCGCTCACTACCCAAAAAACCTGGCGGGCCGGATCAGACTCCTCTGCGGGCCGCATGTGGCCCGCGGGCCGTAGTTTGAAGACGCCTGGACTATAAGTGGTATTCAGATGAGATGACAATAATAAGGTTCCCATCAGAATGGATTATGTTAATAAACACTGTAAAAATCATAATTTTTTAAAAAGAATATTCAAGTAAACCCATCAATTTCTTTTAACAAACTAAAACAAATAAAAAAAACAAACCTCCCCAACTTCATTCTATATAGTTTACTTTCTGAAAATTACAAGTTGAGAATTATTACACATACATTTTAAAATCCTTCAAGTCCAAGTATGTATACTTGTCCCACCCTCTTATTTATTAGTGACAAATCAAAGCTTTAAATGATTACTCACCACCAAGTCTATCAACCCCATGCATGAAGAACAATATTCTCAAAGTAAGTGAGTAATCAAAACCAAATCAAATCATACCACCACCCTCCCAAAGGAAGTCTTCTGTGCCTATTATCTAAGAATATCAAAAACAGAGCTGTTTCCTTATGAAAATAGCTTATATCCAGAATTAGATCCTACTCCCCACACTTTCCATAAGAGTCATATAATTTCACACATTGAAAACTATGAAAGAAATTTATGAAAATCCCTATGTAGATGTTTTCTCAGAACAAAACTGGACAGTTTACAGTATGATAAGCCCTAAGCCAATAAACACCATCTCTCAATAAACGTATCATTCAAATCATGCCTGCCATTTGAGATGTCTTTCCACACACTTCAGATGCATAAACACTAGGCTCAGTATCAATGTCACTATATTGTAACTCTGAAAACTAGTAATCCATATAAGCTATAAATCAAGCATGGCAAACCCACAGCCCAGTCAATATAACAGTATGTAAGAAACATTAATAAAAATGTTGTAACTTAATTTTTACAATATCCTGTATATGCACTCTATCTATAGTAATAAAAGCATAATATGCTAATTAGACCAGAAGGCTGGACAGTGGAACAACCATCTGGACAACTTTCCAGACGAAGCTGCCAGGGCTGGCTGCAAGGGCCTATGCTTGCACGAATTTTGTGCATTAATAATGAACAGCATTCGCCAATGACTAATTACTATAATTGTGCTGCATTCATTTCCCTTATGTGCCTTATACACAGCCACACTACTTCTCTCCACTAATGCTAACAGTGAATACTTTAGCAACTGATGGCCACTTCATTAGTTTTGTACTGACTTGTTTGGCATGCACAACAGGAAATATTTCGCTTTCGGAGATTAAGAAAAATAGGTTTATTTGTGTTATGCTTATTAATTTGTGCAGTTATAAAGCGTCTGATAAGCTTATGTTCAAGAAAAATAGTTTTATTAAAATGTTCTATTATTTTATGTTAACAATTACTCATTTATTTCATCCTTCTGTATTCAGCATGTCTCTATTGAAATAAACCTACGTTTCTATGAAAATTGAAGGTTTTTTGTGGGTTTTGCAGCCCACAAACTTTAACCTTATTTGGCCAATGTTAGCCTTTGAGTTTGACATGCTTGCTGTAAATGGTAACTCTGTATCACTCAAAATATTGTTTGCCAGCCTGGCCAGTGTAGCTCAGTGGTTGAGCACCGACCTATGAACCAGGAGGTTCAATTCCCATTCAGGGGTACAAAAAACAACAAAAAAGCAAATAAAAAGAAATCAAAGTATTTTTAAAGTGTAAAGACTACGATTCAGTGACTTTTTCACTAAATAAAGAGAATTCATTTTTCATTATTCTGTGATATGTGCAGGAGGCAGCTGATCAATGATTCTCTTTCATCATTGATATTTCTCTCTCTCTCTCTCCTTCTCCCTTCCTCTCTGAAATCAATAAATGCATTTTTTTTTTTTAAAGAATGTCTTAATAACGAAGAGGGGGAAAGTTTGTCATTTTTTGACCCCAATAACTCCTATTTCTGCCTAGATAATATCTTTCAACTACCTAGTCATTCCTTCCCCAGAAGAGCTAGAATTTTAGTAAGACAGATTGTAGTATTTTCTCTTGATTTGGACAGCAAAAACTACACTGAAAAAGTACAGTGCTTCCACCTGCTTTCTGACAAGTGCTCCCAAAAGTGCCTGTGTCCAATTAGAAAAACCAAAATGTTGCAAAAACTTTGCATTCCACACTTTAAGTTAACAAGAAACCAAATAAATAACAGTATGGATGAGAGGAATTCATATCAATTCAGTGTATATTTTTAATACATAACTTGTTTAGTAAATATCATGGCCACATTTATGTGGCAAGTACCTATAAGCTGCATCTATTCATTTTTGTACATTAATATTACTTATAGCCTAAACTGAACATCAAATTGAGATTTTTAAAATTTGAAACATGTCAGTTTTCTAATACTGTTATATAAAAAATTTTCCTGAAGATAATTTATACAATTTAAAGGTTTTTGTGAATTTAATAACAATATATTTTAGAGAAAATTTCTAAACATATTACTTCATATATATCTCAGTGCTAATGTTTAAGATCTATTTGATATTGAACAAAGCTAATAGCTCTAGTTGTTAAAAGTCTTTACATAAATATGTATGCAGTCATTTCAATGAAAAATGAACACATTTTCCATTTGTTTTAAAGATAACATTAAAATTTTTAACTGATAAAAATTTACCTTGTGTTAGAGCGAGAGATATTAGTAACAGCTTGATAAAATAAAGGCCAAAAGTGCCCAAATATACACAAAATGTATTATTTCACCATATCATTTCTTACCAGGGTCTCTGAAATAACTCAGCAAGTAGTCTACCTATCTGTAGCAAATTAAATGTCAAGGATATCTGGTAATTTCAATACTCACAAATCTCAACAGAAGTAGTAATATATATGATTAAATCAATAAGTGTTTATTCAATTGCCTACTGTGGATAATCTAAAGCAATCTTAAACAACCAAAAAGTGCTACTCACCAGCAAGTGTATAATCCATATCAAAACCAAAACACTTTATTTTCTCCATGGCTAAACTTCGGTTCACAAACACCCTGAAAAAAAGAGTAAACAATGATATCTCAATTAATACTGGGGGGAAAAATTGGTTTAACAGAATTATTTGGCTGTCTTTCTACATTTTTCTCATTTAAGTACCAATATCTACTAATATATATAATTAAGGCTAACCTGCTAAGTGTACAACCATCTGACGGGTTGCTATGATGCACACTGAACACCAAGAGTCAGAAGCTCAACACAGGAGCTGCTTAGCTGCAGTGACTTGGCAGTGGAGGTTCTTGGGTGACACACCCCAAAACCAGAGGGAAGGGAGCTCAATTCCTTATGCGGCCGCGCAATTCCACCCTCGGCCATGGGTTACGTTGTTGCTGGGGCACTGTTGGCCCAGAATCTGGTTTATTACACAGTTGCATTAGCATTCCATACTCAACTTTGCAGAGTGCCCTCTCGCACTCGCGGACCCCTCAGGGGATGTTGGAGGGCCGGTTTCAACCTGATCCCTGCAGGCCAGGCGGAGGAACCCACCTGCCAGAGGGACCCCACTCACTCCACAGACGCTGGAGAGGGACCGTGGGAAGTTGGCTCCGACCTGTATGGCCCAGTTCTGTCCTGCTGGCCACCTTCTAATTAATTTCCTTTCAATGTGCATGAATCTGTGCACTGGGTCACTAGTAAGTCATAATAAATGTATTCAAGTCCTTTTTATACCTTAAGTGAAATAAGAGGTTACATGAAAATACGTGGACTTTTTTACTGTTTTGGTATTAACAATGCCATGTAGTCAAAACTTGAGTGAATTAAGTTATTTTCAAAATATAACCCCATAAAATAAGTTTATTTCTGAGACTTTATAATTCATTCATTTGTAATTTATTTAATAAACAAAGGTTCATTTCAGCCTATCAGATGACAGATACTAAAGACACAATTACAGATTCATTCAACAAATACTTGAGTGCCTACTATATGTTAGAAACTCTGCTATGGCAGTGAACGGAAGAGTACCTGCCCTCATGGAACTTCTGTTTTAACTTAGAATCTCAATCCTTGAGAAACTCAGCCTAGCAGGAGAAGGACTTATAAGCAAATAATTATAGCAATTCAATAAATGCTATAAAATCATGAAGGCCAGAGCACGAATTGTTTAGAGACCAGAAGAGATGTGCGAGCTGAATCTTAAACAATGAATAGAAGCTTCCCAGTAGAACAAAGCAAGAAAGGCAATTCAGGCAGAATAACCAAGCAAGGACAAGGTTTATAATGAATGGTAAAACATTTATTATGGCTGAAGCTGAGTTTTCTTTGGTTGTACTTTTGTTTGTTTTAGCAAAAGGAGGTTTTCTAGAGGAACAGGGGTGGAGGGAATGAGCAATAAAAGCTATGAAGCCAAGATTAACAGGGGAGTATGGACTTTATCCTGCAAGAAAGAACAAATGACCAGATTTTGAAGAAATAATCATTTTAAAATTTTTAATAAATTAAAATTTCAAAAAGATCACTATGAAGGGAAAACTAACAATATAATAGTATGGTAGATCATTACCATGATGGTGTTTTGGGGTAAGTTTTAATCATTTCTGAAAATAAGTGTTGCCTTTCCATCTGAACCCCAGCTTCGTGGCCAAAATTTCTGAATGATTTATGGTCTATTGCTAAAACTCTTCTTTGCCTTTATTTCATAAGTAACTTCGAGAAGTAAGAATGCTTTAAATCACCTAGGGAACTTATTTAAAAAAACACACACAAAAAAAAACTATGCCTGGGCTACCCTCGCCCATTAATGATCTAGGTCAATAACTTCCAAAGAAGACTGACTACACCAGGGAATGCAGAAGACTACTGGGGGGAAAAAGAAGATATTAGATCTTCTACTTATATTCATTTCACCATTTAAAGATATCTAATTTGTGTATGTTTTCTATTATATATAAATAAGGATAATATATAATTTATAAGTACATACAGGAGTAAATAGTACATATTTTAAGTGATGAAATACTCAAAAAAAAATTGGAAACCACTGATCTAGGTATTGACTTTTTTTTTTAGCTCTTCACCAGCATATATATTGTTTTAAATGTTAATAGAAAACATTTTCTCTCATCTCAGAATGTATCATATTTTTTTATTTTTTTAAATATATTTTATTGATTTTTTTACAGAGAGGAAGAGAGAGGGATAGAAAGTTAGAAACATCGATGAGAGAGAATCACTGATCAGCTGCCTCTTGCACACCCCCTACTGGTACATGCCCTTGACCGGAATCGAACCTGGGACCTTTCAGTCTGCAGGCTGACGCTCTATCCACTGAGCCAAACCGGTTTCGGCTGAATATATCAATTTTAAATAAAGAAAAATAAAATATTAGCTTAAAATACTTTAATCAATAACAGTCAATTGGCCCTTAAATTAAGAGCTTTTCTGAAAAATGTAAAAATCATTACTAATCTTACACCATGCTATGCATACTTGATTAGCTCTATAAAACTTAGTTCCTGAGATGTTATATAAAATATTTTTACTTTCTTTCCCTAAAATAACCTGGTCTTCTAGAAAATAAATATTTAAGTTGTCTTGGGTAAATGGTGGAAGAAAGTGGAAGAAAAGAGTAGTGCAGCGATTTTCAACCTTTTTCATCTCATGGCATACACAAACTTATTAGTAAAATTCTGTGGCACACCAAAAAATATACATTTTTTGCTAATCTGACAAAAAAAAGTAGGTATGCTTTTGATTCATTCACACTGAACAGCTAATGTTGTGTTGGCTGTTGTTGTTTCTTTAATTAGACAATTTAAGGGAAAAGAGGTCAGTGTCCCTAACTTAATAGTGAGATATTGCATGTTGTAAAAACTCTTGCAGCACACCAGTTGAAAATCGCTAGAGTAGCAGAGAGCTGAAAGATACAAGGAGCGAGAGAATAAATGACATCCACCCAAACCTTTTCAAAAACTTACCACTACCTCAAATATATCACCATGACCCTTTTAGCAATTTACCAAACTTCCTTCTTTATTGTCATTTTTCCCCAGTTACATAAATCCTTTGAAGTCACAACAGGGGTAAAAAAAAACACAAAGTAATGTTTCTAACTCTGCAAACAATGTTACCACTGATGCTTAGGCTTTTCAAACACACTTTCAATGCAGGGTAGGGTGCCAACTGGATCAAATCCTTGCTCAGAGCCCAAACAGCTGATGTGCCTAAAATATTCTGTGGGAATTCAGGCAGGAACGACAGGGAGATTTTTCTTCCTGTGGTACAATCCAGCAGAGATATGTAGGACCACACAATAAAAGAAACAGTTTTGATTCTAATAGAAATATGATGGGAGTTAGATTTTAGGCCCAATGAAAAATCAGGGAGAAAATAAGCTTTGCTAATATCACTCAATCAGTCCTTAAGATACAAAGAAACTATTTATAGATCCAGCAAGATTGTTTACTAGTTTCTTTCTTGGCCAGAAAAGAAATTAAGCTTATTCACTTCATAATGTTTTTTAAAGGATATAAACATCATAATGCACCTTAGGTATTATCCATACAAACTCTATAGATGACGTATGTCAGTAACATGAAAATCTTTTGTTTTTGCCAAAATAATCACTGCTAAATATCTATCAAATCGCACTCTTTCTTCTTTGACTGGTTGGTCACTTTATTCAATCAACACATTTGTTAAATGCCTACAACAAAGCAAGTACCGTACTATTTTGTGACATATATTCTAGAAGCTATGCTATAGGGAGTATAGTCAGAGCTAAGAAACTTTCTCAGTGCCTAAAATTAGGAAGTAAGACCTTTTCCTTTTAAGATCTTGTACCAAATATCTTTTCCATTTTCAAAGTAAGTTACCTTCACCCACAGAAGCAATTATTGAACTTAAAAAAAGAAACAATCATTCCTATTTTCCCTAATTCATGTCTATTATGAAGCAAAAAGAAAAACCTCACATATATTCTCATCTCTTCTATTCTTTGCCTAGTTTATGCTATAAAACATGGGAGGAGGGGCAATAGGGAATTCAATCATTCCTGTGCAAATATCTAAAAGGAAACCTATAATAATAAAATTAACAGCTACATTATAGATATCTGCAATAATATAGTATATGCTAAATTTTACAAAGTTAATAAATGTCCAAATGCTGAAAGTATGCACTGACCAGGAGAGAAATAGCCTTAAGCCAGAAATATCATGTCTCCAGGACAAAGTCTTCAAGGAAAACAATCTCTTGGCCTCAAACTAATGATTATTCTTTACTGTTAAAAGCAAATATTAGGTAGTGTATCAATTAAGAGGCTGGCTCACTGTCCCACCATGCATTTAAAACAAAAAGAAACCTGCTTTGCAGAAACCAACATTTCTATTGGTTTCAGGATTTTGACTGTATCTTTACTTGAGTCACTTTTCTAAATTATTAACCAGTGAAACATACTCCACCTCTATCTTTAAGAGCTTAAATATATTTGTGAAATTCCAAAGCTTGTTTTAAATAAATTACAAAGTTGCCACCCTAAGAAGCATAACTGAACTAACGCATCCAACCTTAAAAAACAGAAATTCCTACATTCACACTAAGTCATCTGGCAAGATAGAGATTTGAGCATGAAGAGAAACAATCTTTAGGAAAAAGATACAAGAACACATAAAATCAGACACAGACTCCAACACAACAACAAATGTAACAGCTTTTACTATCATATCCCACTGTAGTAAGGCATGAAATATGAAGAAATTCTATATAAGTAAACATACATATAACTATAAAAATGAGACAATATAATATGAATTAAGAGAGTGATCTAATATTCTCCCACTTAAAGACCATGAACATGCAATTTACTAAATGTGAAATTCTGTACATAACAAACTCAATCATTTTGAGATTTAACACATAATTCAAAGCAGCATTACCTCATCTGTCACTGGTTGCTGTTTTGCAAAGTGTGAAACTATCTGAATCAAATAGTTCTTGAAGTCATAACAAAATTCTTCAAATCCCTAGGAGACTTTTTTTTGGATGACTTTAA